GAAATTAATAAATATTCATAAAAATAAAGGGCATGGGTTTGTTGTGTCGATAGCTCTATTTTTAAATATAGAAAACAAAGAATTAAAGTATAAAAACAGTCATACTCACCCACGAGTCAGAGGTCATCCTCAGTTGTCGTAGCAACTGTGAGTCAGACTTCGGACAGGCCAACGCAATATAACGATGACGTAATGTACCAAATATTTTAAGAAAAAAGGTTATGATTGTGCATCCTTGCAGTCTGTCAAACTCGCCGCCATATGCCGACATATCAACATTCAGTCGATTCACCCGGATTTCTGGGGTCGGAATTTGCTGCTGTTCTACGCGATCCAGGGATGCTACAGCTCCGTAAACTTTACACGATTCCTGTAGATATTCGTCGTTTATGGACAGAGAAGTCGCCCAGGACGGATTACTGCTGTCGCATATCACAATCAATGTTCTTTGTTTATGTTTACATAAACTATCCAGAATAGATTTGGTGAGCTGAGAAGTGAATAAACCAGTGAGTTAGATCATGAACTCTATCTTATCTAGAATCTATGGTTTGAGTGAATTTACGTGTCAAAAGTCAAATAATAGTCTGAAAGACAATTTGCTTAGAAAGTTCACCTGTTCACATTTTATACCACTAATCAGACACGTGACTGATTTGTCTTATTGCATTCCTATCATACAACTATTTGCCTTGTGCCTGTTCTAACCAGTTTTTTTTTTTTATTCACGCTGCACATCCAAATCCAGACACTGATCTAGTGAAGGACTAATCTAAGCCAGTACTAGTACCTAATAATAGATTTTTCGTTCAACTGTGAGATCTCGCGAGTTGCGTGAAAGACGCGCGTCGAACGCCTGCAGCAAAAATCGAACGGTTTGATATGGAACTCTAATTTCTTTATTTTGTAGCTCACATCGAAAGGCCGATCTTTGACAGGTGAATATTGCGTTTCAAATGTGTACAGCACATTATTAAAGGGCGGCAGTCGCCGTGTCGCGTCCGTTCTACATGGGACTCATAGCGACGTATACAACGCGTGTAAAATACATTCACATGAAATTCAAACACGCGCTGCGCGACGACCACCGCGCTTTAAAGCGTTGTATACATCGCTATGAGTCCCATATCGAACAGGACGCGTCGTCACGACTGCCGCCCTTTAAGCATAGAAATATTCCCGAAAATACTTCCGCGTTTGTCGAATCCCACGCGATGTTTGTCTCCACTACAGCAGTGAACGGAAAATGGTCAATTATTCATGAATTTCTAAAAAGTTGGTTAGTTCAGGCAATATAAGCAAATATCGCAATCCAATGCAGAGAGTTGTCGTCAAAGGGAAGTAAATAAGTTTTATGTGAAAATACTCATCACAACTACCTGCTACAAACAGTATATTTCTCATGTTGATGTGCGTAGACGAGACCATTAAATGCAATACAGTTCGGCATATTGATTGAATGGTTCGAGGATGTATGCTTGCTCCAACAAGTTAAGCATTCATCGTGTGAATCCAATTAAATCATAATATTCAATACAGTCACGTGATAAACTGTGAGTGTATTAGAATGGATACACCGTTATGCGTTAGATCTATAAAAA